GGATGAGCAGAGATCTAAGTGGGTCTCGCTGGAGGAAGGATGAAGGGCTCTGAGAAGTACCCTCTGCCTTCATCTAGAGGTCTGGGGGATTTCCCAGCTAGGATCTGGATTTTTTTTTCCTGCTACTGGGTTTGAAGCAGGGCCTTACACAGGCAAACACCCTCCTGCTGAGCTACATCTCCAGCCTGGGACCTGGGTTTCTTGGGAGAAAATTCTGGAACTGCCCTAATATCTAGTTGCTATGGTAGGGCTCCCTGCATTAACCCCACTTTCTCTCTGCTCCTTGCCCCCCTTGTACTAGAGTCCCCAGTGAAACAGAGCCACTGGACATAAAGAGATATCAATGCTCTCTGTGAATTTTTTTCTTCTGTAAGATGGGGCTGCTCACATGCCTCTGCTGCAAGGCTGGTGCTGGGCCAATGGAAGATGGATGAAAAATCCTGGTGGCATGGTGGATGCAGAACTAATTATGATGCTATAATTATCTTAACGACTGTCGGAGATTCCAGCTAAGCTGTCTGGGCTTTGCCTTCACCCCATGTGTGTGATTTTGCCCCTTCGAGTGTTTAAACTGTCACCAGTCTCTTAGTTTGGAACAGAGAGTTCAGCTCACTGGAAAGGGCTGGGGATGCTGGGCAACAGGCATGTGGTGGGAGCATCTCGAAGGCTGGACCAAGACTGAGGACAGTGATGCCTAGGAGTGTCTGTGACCTCTTTGCTTCCTTCTCTTTGCCACGAGCTGGACTCGTGAAAGGCAGACCCACAGCAGGAGACACACAGTGTCCTCACTCTGACACAGCAGCAGAGTGGAACTACTTAACTCAAAATATCTCAGTTTGAACTTCTGCCCAAATCTCTCAAGCCTAAAGTGAGGGATTCTAAGGGCTCTGAGCTGTTCATGGACCAGGGCTGAACCAAGGAAGCAAAACACACCCAGTCAGGGAGAAAAAGCTGATTACCTCCTAATTGCCGTTAAATTAGATATATACATATATGTATTTTAAGTAGAATCTGCATGTCTAATGTGAGTTTTTGATTACATTTTAATAGTCTGGCTGAGATGAGGGAATGAAGGAGGAAGGGGTCTGTCATCCCTGGCTAGAAGAAGAGAAGTTGTAAACAGAGAGCTTTGGCTTGGACCTCCTGCCTGGGTGCTGTGTGAGGATAAGTGGGGGCCCAGACTGGTGTCCACACCACTTCCCACCACAGGTCCTTGCCTTGTAGACTTTAAACACAGCTTCTCTATTTTGGATATGCCTGTCATCTCCAGACCTGCTTGTCCCCTGGGGCTGCCAAAAAAAAAATGACCCTGGAATCTGGTGGCAAAATAGAAAACTTCCAGGCAAGAACCCCAGCCTCACCACTGCTAAAATGACCTTGGGTGTCGCAACTCTGCTCACCAGGTCTCAGTTTTCCCGTGTGTGCAATGGAAGTGTTGTATGTGATATATTTTGTTGTTTTTTGAGACATGATTTTTATACAGCCAAAGCTGGTCTCAAATTTGCAGTGGAGCTGAGGATGACCTTTAAACTCCCGATCTTCCAGCCTGCATCTCCTGAGTGCTGGGATTAGAGGTGTATATGCCACCGTATGTGGGTTATGGATGCTGGGGATGGAAGCAAGGGATCCGAGAGTGCTAGGCAAGCTCTCTATAGCTGAGCCACATCCACGGTTCCCTTTGCTAGGGTTTTATGTGCTGTGATTTACTTCCCCTTCCTTTCAAGACTGCTCTTTCTGTCTCAGGGGACTGGGAGTGTCCATACTCCTTTCCCCCCAAGCCAGTGTCGCATTTCCCTACTGCATCCTGTGCCCACCCTCCTTGATTTGCTTCTCGGAGGCCAGCACTCTCTCTCCACCCCACCCCATGCACATTATCACGACTCTTCGAAGAGGTAAAGACAGCTGGTAAAATACGCACACGAGTACACACACACACACACACACACACACACACACACACACGCTATTTTTAAATAGCATTTATTTCTGATTCTAAAAGTAAGGCTATACTTAATCATTGCAGAAAATTTGGAAACAGACATGCATAAAAGAGAAAATAAAAATCATCCGTAATCTTCTCAAACAGTGAGAGTCATTCTCAATGGGTTATATTTAAAATACATATGAGATTCCTTCCCCACCACACCCCCTGATTATAAAAGTGGGATTTTGCTTTGGGTATGACTTTGAGTTCCAGCAAGATTAGCCTTGAAACTGGTGGCATCAGCCAGGCAGGCATGGTAGTTCATGACTGGCATTCCAGCACTTTGGAGGTAGAAGCAGGAAGATCAGGAGTTCAAGGTCATCCACAGCTATATAGAGTTTGAGGCAAGCCTAAGTTACATGAGACCCAGTGTCAAAAACCACACGGGCGGAACTAGAGAGATGGCTCAGTGGTTAAGAGCACTTACTGCTCTTGAGAGGGTCTGGGTTCAGTTCCCAGCACCCACATCAGGAGCTCACAACTGCCTGTCACTTGAGTTCCAGAGACTCCAATGCCATTTGACCTCTGTGGGCATTTGCACACACACGATGCACATGAACTCACACACGCTGACATAAATACACACAGGAAGTGTGCTGGCAAGACGGTTTAGGAGGTAAAGGCAAGCCCGCGAGCTGAGTTCAATCTCTGTGACACATGTGTCGGAAGGGGAGGGCTGACTTCCACCAGGCTGTCCTCTGAATGCCATATGCACGAGACTGTGGATGAGTATATGCACGAGACTGTGGATGAGTATATGCACACCTACACAGGGTCGGGGAGGGGAGAGAAGAGAATGTACTACAAAGGCAGTAAGGGGGAGGGGGAAGGAAGGAGGAAGAGAACTGGGTACATCGTTTCTCTTTGCTCCCCGTTAAGGGGTCACTCTCTTGCTTTTCCTTCTTTCAAGTCTTGGACCCAGAGGGTCCCCTCAGTCAGTCTCTCCATTGCATCCGCCTCTCCTCCAACCCACCTCCCATTATTCCACTCTCTTACCTCACTCTCCTCGTGTGTCTATTGCTTTAGTCCTCCTCCTCCCTCCTCCTTACTCCTCCCTCCTCC